CCCATTTCCACCATCCAGATCAAAATAAACTCTTTGGTTCCCGGTGTAGTGAGACCAGGAAATCATTCATTTCATTATAAAATAACAGCCTATTCATGATACGGTAATCCAGGGTGCGGGTCATGGCCGAAATGTCGCTGCTGAATAATTTTTAGAAGATTCTAAAACTATCCACTATACTCTGATGGTCAATAGATTTTCCCTGAACCTTCTTTTGGAGTGCCGAGTATGGGACGAGTAGCTCTGAACCCTCTAGTGCCTCTTTAACCTCAGTTGGAGGTTTTATTTTGTCGAAAAATCTGATTCTAAAGTATATTTTATTAAATTAATGTCACGAATTTCAATTAATTTTTCCTCGTTTCCAAAAAAAAAATAAAGGAAAGGTGAAATCTCCTGGAAAGTATGCCCTTTGCAGGCACTTGTCCCATGCCAGCTCAACGTCTTACAGCTGATTTAACCGAATCCGACTTTGGTGCAATGACATTGCTATGAAGGGGAAATGAAGCGTATGAATTACAGACTTCCTTGCCATTTAGCCATTCAGCAGCCAATTCTCCTATTTGAGTCATACAGCGCTCCATAATTTTACCAAAGTTTGTTAGAACTGAGTACAGGGAACCAGTAGAAGAATCTTATTAGGTTTCTAAACTAAGAAAAAGATTGGATGTTTCTTTGAAGTGCTCGTAGTTGCTCAACATTCTCCATAATTTCCTCCAGGATGCGGCTTGTATTTCTTTTTCTATCGGGATCCTGACTTTTGCTCCTTACAGTTATCGGAGAGATCGGCGGCTTTCAGGATTTCTTCTGGATTTTATTCCGCCTCAAACGAGTTGAGTGTAGGGATCCAAATAAAAAGAGCTCGGCATTTTAAGTGATTTTCTTGAGGATGATGTCGTTTCTTTGACTACTTTGGCTACAGTGAACGAATGAAATCTTTCTACAGAAAGAAAAATTAAAAATTTAGGAAAAAAATGCAAGAATCAGGGATGAAGTGCCCTCATCACAATTAACATAATGCTTGGACTTGAATATTCAAAAATCCCAAACCATCCCTATTCTTTTTTTCTTTACAAATTAAAATTTTGGTTTCTATATGGCAATAGGATGGTGGAGTCGAATGCGAGGCACGTCCCAAAACGGGGTTGATTAATGCCAAAGCCTTTATCCTTTATTCCCATATGCGATTAGCTTTCTTAATGGTGCTCTACTTGGTCGTCATTTTCCGTGTTGTGGCGTTTTTGCTGTTTCCAGCATCCACCGCAGCCCCAGCCAATATGTTATTCATTGTGCTCATAACAAGCCAAGCACCTCCCCAGGCTATCTCATGGTTTCTCTCTTTTTACTATGAGACGCGCATTTCTGTCACTCAAACTGAGCCCTTCGTTGATGGCTCATCAAAATGACCGATGTTTCTCGGAAATTCGCTCAAATAAATTCAGTTACACTCTGGCTTGGGAGTATTGGAAGCATCTGCTGGAAATCGCTACATATGCATGGCCCACGGATCACAAAATATTGTTGGTCCCTAACGCCTTTTACACATTCAACCCGTTTCTCGGTTACTCACCAGTATGTCCAAGGGAGGCAGCATGAGGAATAACCCATTTGATTGGCTGTAGTGGAAGTCAGGGATCTGCAGCAGTTTGTTCTCCTACCCTTTCACCCCAGAGCAATTTGATGAGTACCAGGAGTCTGTGGGAGGTCTAAGTGGGCCTGAATGGACTTAACCACCACCTTATCAGTCGTAGGCGTATTCACAGCATCCTTTCAAATAAGTAATACTCATCAATCTGTGGTGAAAGGCTGGGAGACCAGACTGCTCCCACTCCAGGCTTTGACGGCCGATAAATTTTGGCTTCTTCTTTACGTTCTGAATGCCAGATTTTCCAGCATTTTCCGTTTTTTTTTTCAAGGAATTGGAGTCTTCAGAGGCTTCCAAACCATTGTGTTAGCGGCTCTGAAAAAATTATTTCTGATTTGGGATTTATGCGAATGTGTAGCTGAGAGTGATATGCTGATTTTATCTCGTTGTCTTTCTGTGCCACCCCGATAACTGTGCTTCAGTTCCATCTCCTTCTCAGTTTTCCGTATGACTTCCTGCAAGAGTAATCTCTTCAGAAAAGAATTCATTGTACGAGATCGTCCATTCTTCTCGACGAGTTACTCTACATTACCATATTACGACGTATCAGATCGCTGTGCACTCAGCAACAGGACCCGCTTCGGAAAACCCGTCCACCTAGACCGCGATGGCGGATCGCGGGCGGCGCGCCGCACCCGCCGACGACGGTACCGTACGGATAAACGGTATCGTACTGCCGGCAGACATGTCTGATGAACTGAAGACCCTGAATGTAAAGCTTGAAGATAAGGCATGCGAAGTAAGTTTTGTCAAAATTTTATTTGAAGAAACCTCATACTTTCGGGATTCCTGGAACCCAGAAGTGATTGGACGTTTAGCAGCCATTTTCTGCTCTGTTGAACCTCTTAGCCAGGAACTTGCCTTTGACGTTCCGTTCAGAGAAGTCAAGCGGTTGTTTCCTGGTTGATGTTAGGGGGTTCCTCATCGATTTGCCCATGCATTCAAGCATGGCAGTTCAAGGCTATCAGCTTTGATGAGTGGCATGTGCGCGTGGGAAAACAAACAACCGTTGGCAGTATCGTGAAATGAATGGAACACATAGGGAACGGAAAACAAACGGGAAGAAATATCAGCTAAGAAGGCTCTAAACAGTAGGGGATTGAGTAGACGGTAGTTAAATGATATGGGGACAGGTTTCCAGTGGAATGTCTCCAACAACTTCAGTTTTACTTTCCGAAATTATTTACCTAATCAAACATTTTCAGTCTCTCGAATCCACAAGACGGATGCTTGCACTATGTGAAGAAGTGAGCTTTTGAAATATTTCCTTGCTGAAGGTTTTTCCTTTTTGATTTCAATAGGTACGATATAAAAATTGTTGTAAATGGAGGTATGAGTCAAGAGGCACCACTGCAATCGCCTCGCCCCAGAACTAGATCACTGCAACTTCATTTCTCGGGACAGAACCCCTTTTCACAAATTTTGGCATTTCGACAATAACCAGTATGGCCGTATTTTTGCTACAAGAATAACTCTCCTACTTCGTTCTTCTCATATTGTTGTTTTCCATGTTCTTATTAGGAAGGGCAAAAAAGTGGCCAGAAAACAAAACTACACCATGAAGAAACTCGCCCAACATACCCGAAAACAACACTACGCCAAGAAGGACTAGCTAGGAAAGTGGTCCTCCAAAAGGTGGGATCACCTTAATTATTGGCAAAATGCCAGAGCTGAAAATTGTGATTACCGTCATCAGCCCTCCCATCGCCATGTGCAGGGTAGAGATCCTATGGGGAGCATGAAGTGTGTTGGAGAATACGGTACACGTGAAGCGAAGGCTAGGTTTGGATTCGGCTGAAACTGAAGTATTCTCCCATTGGATCCCATATATGGAAGCTATAATTTGGTGAGCATTATTATGATGAACTTCACAGACTTTAATATTAATTTGAGGTGCTTTGGTACAAGCCTTCCGAGTTCTAGCAGTAAATCAAGGCCCTGATAGCTGTCTACAGCTACATATATTTTTGATTTTGCTGTTGCAGTGAGAACAAAGCATTGCCCAAACAAAAACCGATAGAGATATTTTTCAATTTCAGCAGGGTCCAAAGGGTTCGACTTTGTTTGACGCCGTTTTTTCACAAAGTTTCAAAAGCTTAAAGCAAATCTTGAATAATTTCTGAAAGGCTCTAATTTTGGAGATTGATTTCTTCACACAACTGTTGTTCTGTTGTTCTCAAAAGAAACAAGATTGATAACAAGTCCGCCTTCTCTGTTGGTTCCTACCCTTTTGGTTCACTGTAACCAATTCTGGCATAGATCCTTTTTTCAAAAGAAAGTTTTTTTCTGTGAAGTGGGAAGGGAAATGAAAAGAAGTTCATCCCAACAAGATATTAGATGATAAAGCAAAATGTTAGTTAATGAAAATAAAATAATGCTGAAAAACTGTTGTAGTTTTTAGCCTCAAATAGAGCATAAAGTGAACTTCTGCATGTTTGGCTGAACATGGACTGTCCCGAAATTGGGACCAGCGCTCAGTGTGTTACAAACAAATATAGAATGAAATAAAATTTGTTTCAGAGCAAGGAAGCCGGTATCAAAACATTAGTCATGTTGGACGACCAAGGAGGTAAGTAGCTTTGGGAGATCATTTCTCTGTTTTGCTTGCCAGCCGCATTTGTCTCTTGGATACCTTGCTCGATCACGATCGCTCTCCGCCTAAGCTCATTTGTATGATGCTAGGCGATGGGAGAACTTCTGAGTAGTCACTGTGGTTGCGGTGCTTCGAAGAGAGCTGGTAAACCGTAATAGTTATGAGAGGTTCCCGTAGAGCGATAACACCAGAACTGTCGAAATTTTACAGGGACCATTAGGAAATGGGTGTTCGGCTGAAATCCGGCATGTCGCATTGCATTAGGCGATCTTGCAACTTTTCTTTCATACTTCCTGCTGTTTCTCTGTTTTCGAACTACTGTCTTACCCTTATAAGCCTCCATAGGTGCCTTCACTCAACCCCCCCCCCCTCAGTAGAAAGAGACCCTGTAACCTTCATTTAGGCCCAATCACGCTGAGACGTGAAAGAGTGATCTGAATTACAGGTGAGGGCCAGGAGCCTCAAATGTCGCATGGTGAGGCAACTAGATAGGAATCACCCACCGCTCATGAACACGCGAGTTTTGAGTTAGTTGCCTCACAGTGCAGCCTTTGTAGTCTCCAACCGTCACTTAATCAAAAACTGAACAAAAAGTTTCAAAAAAGCAGACAAAAGTTTAAAAAAAACTCGCTACAGTATCATTTTTGCATAGATAGTTTTGCTGCCCAACAAATAGACCCATTCTGGCCGCAACCTTCCTCGGGAATGTGATTTTTTCCTCACCATTGGAGATGACATGAATTAATTACAGAGCAGCTTGAGCGATGCGAAGGTGCATTGGACACCATCAACACAGACATGAAAGAAGCTGAAGAACATTTGAAAGGAATGGAAAAATGCTGCGGTCTTTGTGTGTTGCCATGGAATAAGTATGTTCGATTAAGGAGAAGCTTTCATTGTTATCCAATGTTTTTACCTTTTCATTGTCATTCGGCCCATACTGGCATTTGCTGGGAAGAGTAGGTGTATGTGGGTGTATGACAGTCACCTGAACCTAATGCCCACGTACATCTGCTCTTATTAATCGCCGGCAAATTCAGCTCGGGCCATTACTGTGGAAGTACGTACATCCTCTATCTCAATGGCCTTTCTTGGGAAATATCTCCTGTGGTAGTTGGGAGTGGCTCTCTTTGACTCACTCACCATAGACTTCTGCACTGACTGACTTACTCATTACAATGTAGAAGCCAAATACTAATATACTAATACTGCACTTTTGAATCTTTTTGAATGGAAATCGAATGCATGGCGTATCCCGGGACAAGACATGTGGAGATCAGTCCGCACAGCTGTGTGTTCTTGCAGTGATTTACTGTTACACCGGACCATGTATTTGACAGTCGATATAAAGTAAAATCGTCACCAAAGACCGACCCAACTAGTTCCTTCGGGAGTAGTTAATATGGTCATAGTATGTCCTCGAAGAAGGTGGCCACTGGGTTCAATATCGGGTATTTCCCCAAGGGGCCATTACATAGTTTAAGCATCAAACACATTCCTGGATGCAAGTAGAATGCATGGCGCATACAAGGAGGGTTCTGAGTCTGAGCCACTGATCCTTTCTGTTTTATTTTTGTCCCATTTGTCACTCAGTTTCTCTTGTTTAACATCAATCATTCATTTTGAACATTATCTCAATGGTTTCTTGAAAGGGTTTGATCAGAAATGGTAGGAATACGGTAGTGTACAGTTTTGTGGATGCTTTCTTTTCACAACTACTATTTTCCTTTGATCTACCACTGCTGATATTTTTATTCAATGTGCCATTTCAGGGCTGACGACTTCGAAAAGAACTCAGAATATGCGAAAGCATGGAAAAAGGATGATGATGGTGGTGTGATCTCAGATCAGCCTAGGATCACGGTTGGTGATTCGTCAATGGGACCACAAGGTGGATATGTGACCAGGTTCGTTGATGCTCTTCACAGAATATCACTCCTCGAATCACTCGTTGAACTTTACCTAAGGTCATAAGTAAGGCGGTGGAAGTGTATTACACGCATAGTTCGGGAACCGCGTCCTGGATGAATACCCGCCCGGGATAACCAAATTATCCATCTTTACGAGGTCGATTAATTGGTACCAGGTTCGTCTGACAGGATGAAAGCACTGATTTGAACATCGGCTGGCCACTGCAAGTCATTGTAGGGGTCATATTTGCATTCAAAGCACCCCTACAGCTGTGAATAGTAGTCAAACGCAGGGCGCATTCCGCAAATGGGCTTGGTAGCCGTCGAAAGAATTCATCCTCATTTTCTATTCCTACACCTTGAAAATCATTACTGCGAATTTTCTTGTTAAGATGAATTGCACATGGTTCTGCCCACAGGCTAACTGTAAGTTAATTCTGCACTGGTAAAAAAGGCTTTCACTCGTCGTAGACCTAATGGCACAGGAGAACTCACGGGGGACGAAAAAACGTTAGCCTGCACATGTACTTACCATTCTATGGAGCATTTTATGTTTCCAGCACATATGCATAGCTCGTCTCTCACTAATGGGGACCAAACTACTTGCCCTTCAGCTCCTATCGATTTCAATTCGTTAAAGCTTTCTGAGTTTTTAAATATCTATCGCCTCAATCAACGATTCATATTACAGGATCACAAATGATGCTCGCGAAGACGAAATGGATGAAAATATCCAACAGGTATGTTTAAGTTACTACACAGAGGAATACTAGTAAAAAATGTGTGTTTCTTGCCTCAAGCTACTTTTTTTTTCCAGTCAGATTTCGCTTCCGTTGTCCTTGTCGTGATTAACCATGACCTAAACGAAATTGGCTTATCAATATGATTTCTCTAGGTGTCCTTACAAAAACTGGCTCATACCTTATACCTCTCCGACTTTCAGAGACTGAATGAAGGTTGTAGAAGCTGTGGTAGAATGACAGTACGTACAGAACCTTCTTGAATATGACGTCCCTAGCAGCTTAACAATTTCATCTCATCTGGCACTGTTACCGATACCTATAGGAATCCTGTACTGGAGCTGGGTGACTTGCTTAGGCACCCCCCACCTCTTCCTTCCGTGTCGAAGTGCGCAAAGTAACCATAAAGAGGATCAGCATTCGGGCACAAAGTCCGCCACCATTGTCGATACACAGGATTGATGTTGATCTCCTTCCTTGGCACCGACGGTTCCGAAGACATTTCCCAGTTTTCAGATAATGTCTCATTTTTCACATTTCATTCCAATGCCTTCATTTATCCAAATAACCTAGGAGTTCCGTGTTGAATAATGAATTTTGCATTATGTCCAACATTTACGTGGAGTCTCATGTTCTCTGTCAGAAGTGCGAACAATCGCTCATTCATTGTGAATCGCTTGATCCGTTAAACGACAGGCTGTTTCAGGTATCTACAATGGTCGGAAATCTGCGTAACATGGCCATTGACATGAGCACAGAGGTCTCAAACCAGAACAGACAACTTGACCGCATACATGATAAGGTGAGTGCTACCCAGGCACGATAGTTACCCTATAGTGCTCAAGTCCCTGGGACAAATGGTGGCCAAATTGAGCCCATAACTGCTATCAGAATAGATACACTTGCTTGGGAGGATCAGTCGCCGGCTCAAATCTAATATTGAACGTGCGCTGTTTCTTGACCTAAACGAGTATTCAAAAAATCGCGGCAAAAGGAGTGCGAGCCGAATGCACGGCGCATCCTAAAAAGCGATTACGTCTTGATATCTGCTCCATTCTCTATTAAATATAATGCTTTTCAGGCACAATCGAACGAAGTTCGTGTTGAATCGGCAAACAAGAGAGCCAATAAACTTCTCACCAAGTGATTCTCCTTCGTACAAATCTAGTATTTGC